TTCTGTGAACACTAGCAGGTGCCAAGAACTTGAGGACAGTTGCTGTGCACTTCCTCACTAGTGACACTATTCACATTACTGCAGTTGCAGAATACGTTACAAACTACAGTGCATTTTGAAGCTGTGCAGAGTCACACAGTCCTAATGCATATAAAGGATCTCCACTGGGGTAAACTTTGCTACCATGGCATTTTCCTGAGAACTTCTAGTGCATTAAAAAATCATGTTTCCTTAACCAGAAAGGAATGAACCACTGCTTAGTTGAGTAAATTGGGAACCATTAAAACAAGGAAAAACAGATCACATTGCAAAGAATGATGCTCATGCATTTGAAGACTGGTATCACCCACAGCACTTTACATTTAGGTGAATTAACAAACTATGGTAAACAGAGAGAAATGTATACCAGAAACAAACAGGAAGTGACTGCTGGGACTTGGCACTGTCAAATGTCACAATATGGAAAAGGTTAGAAATTTTTGAAGGCTCAGTTCCTAAATGGCTGGTGTGAAGGCAAATAAAACCACATTGGGGAATTTAATTAATTTACTTTTATTACTCCATAATGATTTAAGACCTCAAAAAATATATATTAATAACTCAGATAAGAAAATTCAAGTAACAACTCTTGCCATTTAACTAAACAACACTATATTATCTCCACTAATTATAACACAGTCTTGCTTCAGAATATCTCCCACGTTACAGCAATTTCATTACTAACAAAAACCACTGGGGGTGAAGGAGAGGCAGAAAGCTTTGTCCCACATACCTTACAAGTGTATTTATCTTACTCAATACACCACATTTTCGTGCATTTCCTAAATTGTACTTTCTGCTCCAGAATGTCTGCTTCATGCAAAAATAAACACAGGCCAGATACTCAATGCAGATTTGAGAGCAAAACACATATCCAACAGAGGTTTTGCATTAACCGGATATGGAGCCATTAAAATAGGAAGCTAGGTCAGTGATAAAAGTGCTACTCTTCATACGCAGTTTTTTGCAGAGTACTCAAGACAAGAGTGGGAGCTGTAACTGTGCTCATCTGACAACTATACCTCCAAGTGTCCAGGGATTGTTTCATTTATTAATCTTCTGCTGATCCTCAAGGTGAGGAGAATTCAAAAAGTGTGAACTCTAATTTGAACTTCCCCTTCTCGACACTTTCTGCTATAAAGAACTGAAGAAAGGCCATCTTTTTAAGGAATGTGCTTTGCACTACAGCGATTAACTTTAAAGCAACTAGAAGCCAGCTGATGACAGGCAGTTTTCAGGCTGTAGCCCCAAGAACTGAAGTAATCTGTTTAAGGAAGGCACTGACTCTGCCTGTCTTAACTAGCATCTTTAAAAATGAAGAAGTGAAATTTAACACATACATGGAGAACTTTCCATTACTTCCATCTCCAACGTAACCCTGCTAGTAACCCAGCATCATCATATATACTACTTCAAAACTGTCTGACTACAGTTTTAAAAAGTTATCAAAAATCCAAAATGCATATTCTTAAAATGTTTGTTGATTTTGGTTTTTGTTTTGTTTTACCGAGACATGTTTTATGTGCTAAATATTCAGGTCTTCCAAAATGAGGGGGAAAGATGAGTAGACATTACAAAACCAAGAGTTGTTTCTACTAGGGATTTTGGCTCAAAAGTGCTCAAACTTCACACGGTACCTGTCATCTATTTATTCACCAGTGTTTCCTCCGTGGAACACATACAAACTCCACAGATACAAAAGCTTCCTGGATAACACTTAAAGATACTGGCTTTAATCTCACAGAAGTCCTAATCAGTTTTGGACCTGATTTCCCTAAAGGTACCTACTGCTACAGTGTCACTCTACAGCCAAGTATGGGGCTTTAGCAAATAGTTCCTAGTGACAAACAGCATGTTAGCCTAAAGAATAGTCCTTTACACCACTACTTGTTCCCTTCTTCTCAAGTTGGCAGACACAAACACATGTTGATCTTCAAGTTTTCTGTTTGGGGTAATTAACAATGGCCACATTTTGACACAGATATGCTTTAAAGTATTCTAAAAATTTAAGAGATAGATATGCATAAACTAAAACTGCACCCATAACAGAGGTTACAATGATGTCCAGCCGTATCACCAACCTGTTTTTCTTAGCAACTGACAGTGAAAGTAGTTCCACTGAAATCAAGTTAACAGCTTGCCAAGGAAGCTGCTATCCAGTGTGGGTAAGCTATGGCAAAACTGGACAACAGTCTTTTCAACAGAACTGTGAACCAATCATTAGCATATCACAAACAAGCAATAAACTTTGGTGTAATTACATCTGCCAATACAGTACTCTTGCTTTTCATCTTCTCATTCTCTTGTTCACCCCCTGCCCTCAGCTAAGTAATTAATTGGTTTTATTTAGGAAGAAAAGAGCAAAGACTGCCTTTGAGAACTACAGATGTTAAAAGTTTTTAGGCTTCTGTTTGTGCTAGTGAAAGGGGTGGTTTGTTCTTGTACGTATATTTCCTAAATCTTGTTATACACACATTAAAAAACTCCACTCCTGAGTGATTCTGTCTGCAAAGTATCACCATATGGTAGCTTTCACAAATGATCAACTGTACCAAAACATCTAAAAATAACATCTTCCTTAAGTAAAACAAAAACAATTACCAGTGGAGACTTTTGGGTATAGTTCTGAGCTAAGGAATCGATACCACATCGCTGAAATGCTTCAAGGAAGTAAATAAGCAACCTCTGGAGAAAAATAGCACAGTCCTAAATGGCCCACAAGCATCAATGATAAATGTAATATACATGCCTTGGGTTCTTTCAAAAGTCTATTCTTAGATGTAAAGCAAACCCAATCCATTTAATTAAAACCTTAGCTTACAAACACATCCACCAAGTAAGTGAAGCTTAACAAATCTAATTTGAATGAAAGGGACTGGCTGGGTAAAAGAGCAGCTCCCTGATGTTCCTTGCTCTAGTGGTTTCATGTAACCACTGATCACCAACTACTACAACAGCAAACATACAACACCCTTAAACTAAATGGGAGTTGTCTGTCTAAATATAGCTACTTTTAAATAATGCATTGTGAGTTATAAAATAAAGTGCTACTGAATTATTTAACATGGGTCTCATCTTTAACAATGATATATCACTTTTAATTAAATTGAAAGACAGATGATTATATTTGGAGTTACATATTATTGTAAATTGCAACCAGTAAAGCAACATTTTAACTCCAATTATGTCAGCAGTCAGTTTTTCCTATATATATCTGATTCACAGAAATAGAACTGGGACTCAAGCTAAGATAAGCAAAAGCAAGACTTGCAGAGCTGTCTTAGATCTTCAGGGGATCCCAGCTCAGCATTCATTCACAACCTTCAGATACAGAATATCCCACCCATCTGTAACAGTCAGCAAGAATTGGCTGGGATCTCAATCTCACCAACCTGTGTCGGTAACATTCATAATAGGCAAGTTTTCCTTATGCAAGTATCAACCTCTTTGAGAGCAAACACTCAAATGCATTAATACCACTACAGCTAATAAAGGCATCGTGCTCTGTAACTTTTAAAACGTTCTGAAGACACAAAAGGGTGTTAAAGCTGAAAGTTTGTGTAGAATTACATTTCCAACACAATGCAACAATTATATGTTATTTATTATAGTAACCTTTCAGCCAGGCCTAACAGCTGTAAATGCAAAATTAACATTTAGCAACAAAATGGAATGACACATCTTGTTTAGGAGGTTTTAGGAAAAAACTGCTTTCCACCTCACATAATGGAGTAACATTACTGTTTAACAATCATTGTTTAAAGGTGGCTGCCTTTTGCACGTAGTGCATGGAGCAAAAGCCCAAGGGAAAAACAGCACCAACTAGACAGGACTTCACAAACTACTAACTTTAATAGGTGCTCTGTAGAGGAAACAACACCACATGACCTACTGTGTAGAAATCAAATCCTAAGTGTGATCAGTTCAGGCCTGCATGGAGTCACTTTGCCCCTCAAAACAGACACTTCCAAGAAAAACCTCATCTTCATGTCATTGCATCAATAAGCTCTCTCCAAGGGGGTTTTGTGCAGACCCAATCATTGACTGCGGACCACGGTTTGTAGAAAGTCACGGGATCCTTCTACACAGCAAGTAAGTCATTATGTTTCATTACGTTTATGCATTCTAATGCCTGCTTGTTGATTTTATAAGGTGGGGGGGTGGAAATTAAATAAATACAACATCCATGAAAAAAAGTTAATTCCACTGGGACAACTTGCAGCCCGAGACAGCAAAAAAAAACTGCATTAACCTAAAATTTTGACAGCTGCTTTACGCATCCAGTGCCACGAGCGAGGATGTATAGAAGTTTACTTCTCTTTCCGCGAGGTAGGTGCCTTTCAAAGTGGAAGCCGCCTTTCCCTCCTTGGCGGCACTCCCGAAGAGGAGCCCGACGTGCCACCGCGGGCTCGGTGCCTGCCGCTCTGGCGGGGCGCACGGCAGCGCTCCCCGGGACCGCCGGGGAACTAAGAAGGGTGGGCGGCGGGTATGGAAAGTGGCGAGGAAGGGCTCGCTGATCCAGCCCACCCGCGCCGCAGGGTGGCAGGGCGGGATCCCCGCGGCAGCGGTGCCCGCCGCCGAGGAAGAGGAGCCGGAGGGAAGGAGGGAGGGAGGGAGGGAGGCAGCCCGCCGCTTCCCCCACACCCAGGACGCCCGGCAGGGCAGGGCGGCTGCCGGGGCAGGCAGCTTCCCCTCCGGCCAAGCGGAGCGCCGCAGCCCCGGGGGGCTCTTCCTGCCAGCCGGGGACAGATGTGGACGCAACAGCTGGACGGGGAGGAGGGGAGAGGAGAGGAAAGGAAGGAAGAGGCACGGTTGTCTCACAACCCCCCCCACCGCCCGCCGCCGCTCCCGGGGATGCGGGCGGGATGCAGCGGCCGCCCCCGGCTCCGGGTTAGCCCCGCTTTGGGATAGAGAAAGCGGCCGTGAAGGCGGCGGGGATGGCCGGCTCCTGCCCCCCTTACCTTGCTGCGGATCTGGCCCGAGGTGGACACTTTCCGGATGAGTTTCTGGGGGCCCTCGTGCTCCCCTTCGCTGTCCGACGACTCGTCCGCCGGCCCCGCCGCCGCCGCCGGGGGTTGGGGCTGGGGCTGCAGCGGGATCCCGGCGCCGCTCATCCCCGACTCGGCCCCGGCCATCTTCCCGGACTCCTACCGAGAGAAAGCACACGAGCCCGGCTCAGCCAGGGCAGCCGCTGCCGCTCCCCTCCCCGGGGAGGAGGAGGAGGAGGAGGCGGCCTGCCGACGGGCAGCGGTCCGGGGCGGCCGCCGACTGCAGGGGCGCCGGTGTCGGTGCCGGCCGGCCGCCCCCGGCAGGAGGGTGCCCTCCCCGCAGGTGAGCGCCGGGGCCAGTCCGGCCGGGGAGCGGGGAGGGCGCCCGGCGCCCCCGCACATGCCAGGCTTTACTCGAGTGTCCCGGCGTGGCCGCGAGTGGGGCGCGGCACCGGAGCGGGCGCCCCCCGTGCGCGCTGTGCCGCCCGGTGACACTCGGAGGGCGGCGAACGCCGAGTGCCGAGCGCAAGGACGGCGAAAGCGGGCGGGGGCCGTGCCGCACCTTGCCCTGTCCCGGCCGAGGGCTGTGCCGCTCTCCCTAGGGAGCGCAGGATGTCTCTTCGGGACTGGGACGGACGGCTTCTGGTGCGATTGGCTCCTTATCTGTATGCTATTCCTCCAGCCCCCGTGGTAACTATCTGTCAGCGCCAAAGCCTTGGACAGTTTTAGTAGATGCATCTATTGCTTTCCAGTGATTTTCTCATAATAGCTTAATTTTCTTGTTATTCTGTTCATTATTGTCTTTGTGAAAGAGCAGCCCTTACTTCTGGGGAAAGCAAGGGTCAGTTTTCCTTTTTCATCTCAGATCTGGCAGCTCGCACAATCTCGAAATGTCACCACATGTTCTGAATTGTGGGACTTTGAAATTATTGTGGCTTGTATGTAGTCAGTGTTCAAAATAAGTGTTTAAATCACAGCAATACTAAATAAAACACACAAATCCTAGCTGCATGGACCGGATTAAGCATAAGAAAGCAATCAATGCTTGTGGCTTCTATATTCCCACAATTCTATTTATATTTCCAGAAAGGGAACTAACATCTCTTAACATGCTAATATAATGCTGCAGTACCTAAATACAAAGCATTTAATGAGGAAAAGTAAACAACTGTACAACCTATCCTACACTGCAGACACCTTGCCACAGTCTGAATTTCAAATAGTCCAGAGTTTTTATAGTCCAGCCCATTTCTTTTATTGGGGTTTTTATTTCTAGTAGTGTAGGGGAAAGCAATATTTCCATGAAGCCTTGGAGTTCTTGTGCCTTAGTTCTGTGTTACTGCAGCAGATACTTCAAATACAATTCTACTACCCACCTCCACATAGGGCCAATTGTGGAGGTTGTATTTTAAAAAATATCAAAAGTAACATTTAAAAACTCAAAATATCTATTAAGTTTTATTTTAAAGGCATCAAATTACCTACATTCTCTATCAAAATATTAATAAGGCCTAAATCATATCATTAATACCTCATCTCAAAATGATTGTGACACTAAGGACTAATTCTGTCTTATCTCACTCTTCACTTGAGAGGGAGTTCTCCATTTTTCAAAGCATGGGATCAAACTTGAGCAGGTGCAAGTATGCGTTGCTCTCAGTTGGTAAATTTAGGGCACAGCTAGGAAGAAAGACAGTAGAACCAATGTTTATGGACACTGTCTTTCCACCCTCCTTTCTTCCTCTTCCCCATCTGAATTTAGGGAATAGCAAATTATGCCAGAACATATCTCACTGTAATTTCTTAATTCTTTTGAAGGTAAATGTCACTTGAATATTACAAGGGGACAACAAGATATAGTTTCTTAACATATTGCACATAATAGTAATTGTGATTTGAGAAACACTTGGTGCTAATGGAACACAAGCAAGACTGGGTACATTTAATTCAACTGAATTAAATAGTGCTGGCTGAACAATAGTAGTTACTGTTAGAATAAATACAATTCTTCAACTTCTGTTCATTTTTAGAGCTCAGCTATGAGCACTAGTAGCTGCACACTTTCTGCACCATGCAGAGGGTACCATGCATCTTCACCTCAGTGTGCTCTTCCTCACTCATGACTATCCAAACACAGAAGTGTGGTTACCAGGAAAGACAGCCTTTCACTTCCAAGCAAGTCTTTTTCATCATGTCTTGGTAAACTTCAGAGTGCTATGAAAAAAAACCAAAAAGTACTAGGAATGTTCTCTCAGGTTACTTAATGTGAAGATTTTAGTAGCAATAACCTAAGTCTGCAAATTATAGGAAATGTCCCACAAGAACGCTTCAACAAGAATATGAGAACATGGTTTCTGGGAAGTACATAGTGGATTATGTGAAATTTTAGGCTCTAAAGTCTGCAGCTGTTTAATGTGTACAGAGTTCTCCAAAATGAGAAACCAAGTGTTAAGCACTGTTGAAAATACAAAAGTTACTCACTCATGTTAGCATAGAAAGTTGTTTCTACAAATATATACGTTGCCCAGGCACAAAGACAGTTTTAAAGATATCACTATTTCCACTTGTTCTTCTTTTCAAAGGTAATAATAGACAATCGGGGTCCAGTTCCAGCCTTTACCCAGATAAAGCTGCCTAAGGTGGCAATGAAGTTTGCCTCAAAAAGAACTTGCAACTTGACTTCTATTCCTTAATCTCACAGCTAGATTTCTCCCAGGTGATTGATGTCAGACTCAATATGAGAAATTTCGTACTTTCAGCCCAGTGACCACAGTTACAAATACTCTGGCAGAAATGGTACCACTAGACTTCTGCAAGTTGAGCTCTTGAACAATGTGGGACTATGTGCAGCCATTAAAAGCACATACAGTATTTGCATGTGCTGTGTCTTTCACTTAACAGTTTCACACTTCTTAGTAATGACCTTAAATTTCCTAACTAAAGCAAGGGACTGAAAAGAATAAAGAAAGGGTACTCATTTAAAGGAAAATACTCAAACAACAAAAACCAGCTCTACTGACATAATTTGTGCTACGGCAATTAATATCAGCTGATAAACTGCCCTTTATGCAATACATACATATTTACACTGTGATATTGTATACATTTAATATACATATATACATTGTGAGACCATTTTAACTCAGCCACATTGAGTCCCAATAGGACATGTGTCACTAAAATGCATATGCAATATAGAAAAAAATCTAAATACACATGTACTCTAGCTGCACTGAAGATTATAGTTTATAATACAGATTGCTGCACTATTTGATTTCAGCCCTAAAACTCATTCCCTTTGTAACAAACATTTTCACATCTTTTTTTCTAAGTCACTTTGGCATCTATAAACTAAAGGGTAATGCTTTTCTATCCTTCACCTCAGAAAGTTTTTCTAAGGGAATTTGAATCAATAGTGTGTCAGATTAACAATGCATTATTCACCATGTTTAAAAAATTGTATTGAATCTTTCTTAATTTTGGTGGTTAGTGATAGCTGTGGTTTTCAACTGGGCTCCCCACTCTGAACAAGTTTATTTCAGATCTGCCTGTCTGAACTCTCTCTGCAGATCGAATTAGTGATACTATTCTTTCTTGACTTCCTTGCTTAGCAAAGAGGAAGCCAAAATATAACAACATGTATCCATATCACTGTTAATGAAAGTAACTACATCACTTGTGGCTGGATTGGGATTAGCCAAGGGAATTCTATAACCTGTAGGTTACAATATTAAGGAAACACTAAACTATGTTGGATGCTTCGAAGTGAAAAGGTCCAAACCAGGGCAGGTAATAAAAGTAAACAGATGCTTTGTGACTGTGTTAGGACTTATGTATGCATTTGAAAAGCAAGGTAAAGCCAAGACTCAGGTCTCATATAAAATATGAAAATTGTGTCCGGAGCTTTGTGAGCCATGTGTCATGCACATTTTTACTACAAAACCACCAAACCTCCCTTGCAAGAATGCAGAGTGAGCCTTACATTTTTAAGTCACTTTTACTTAGCTCCATTATGGGGTCTCACACAACTCTTACTGGATTCAGGAAGAGCTTTTCCATTAAAAAGTGTGGTGTGAGTTAAGGAAAGGACTTTATAGAAATTTGAAGTAGTACACAGACAAATCCAACCCTGATTAGCTAAGGACTTGTCACTGCATTTAATGTCCATAATTTATTTCTCAGAATAGCTATAGGAAGAGCATTTCCCAATAATCTGACAATTTGCATAGGTTATTAACTTGCACAGATTCAAAACCTGCAAAAAATAGTTTTCCCTGTCTTACTGCCCTTTGTTTCATGTTTTAAGAGCAGGGGAGAGAGTATAATATGTTTTCCCTTTCATCATTCTGGTCTTCACCTAAATCTCCCTTTGCCCCCATTATCATAAAAAGCCTGCTTATGAACAGATGGAAAGAACAATGTAGCTCTTGCCACAAAGATCATGTATGTTACCATCAGGTTACCAGGTAAAGGATTGAGTGGATCAGCTGAAATTAGATTCTTGTAAAGGAAATCAGTGCAGTGGTTAACCTTAAAACTGCATTCATGGATGTACTCTTTAACAAATGCAGCAATGAAATGATAAACATGACCCAAATCCTGGCCCTTACTGGGGGAGGGGGAAATGGAGGGAAAAAAAAAAAATGCTCCTTGTTTATCTAAGCCGTGTGCACGGAAGGAACCGGGCTTGGATGCTTCAGCCAGGACTCCGCATTTCCAAGCGGAGAGGGGCTGCAATCCATCTGCCTCCCAAGTTTCAGCTGAGTTTTGGATGACGGCAGCAATTTAAATGCCACTGTTTAATAGGATAACGCATTCGCAGGAATTGACTTCGCTGCCTTGCTCCCACGATGTCTTCATCTCTCCAGGCAAAAATCTCGGGTTTCCCTTGCCTGATCCTTTCAATGTCAGCTCCATGTTACCGGAACACACATACAGCTGTTTTCCCTATCACAGTTGCATCTCCAGCAACAGCTTCGGGGCTTGAGGACTGCAGAGGGCAGCGAAGGGGGATGTTCAACTTAACAACAAATATTAGGACAGTAAAAATATATTTGTGAGGGCTACAAATCCTAACAAGGAAGGGAGTGAACTTAGTTCCTTGTGGGTATCTCCAGGGCTCTGCTGCTGCTTTCCTGAGGGTGCACACACCAAGCCACACAAAGAATGGGTCTCCCCCGTTTGCTCTTTAAAACTGGGTTTACAAGTAAAACTGGATCAACAAAACGAGTTAGCAAAAGAATGGTACAGCAGCTCCAAGGGGAGCTTGGCAGTGGCACGGGTCCGTGCTTCATGTTGCCTCTCCAAGTTCAGGGCCAGAGGCAGCCTAGCCTTGACCTCTTAGATAGCCTGAAATCTCCCAAGCAGCTACCCAAAGCCTATTTTTAGCCCTCCCTGCCTGATGTGTGTGTGTGTTTGCACAATGGAGAAAAGCCCAGGAGCGGGACCAGACTGCCCTGAAAAGGGAAATCTGATTTTATCGCCTGCTGAGGATGCCGGTGACATGATTTCCTTTGGTTGGAAGGAGGGTCTTCCAGCTGCTTAAACAAACCGCAAAGGCACCTCACCGCAGCTTTCCCCCTGGCCAGTTTGAGCACTCCCCTCCCTTCGCAGCGGCCCAAAGGCACGCACTTTCCCCACACGGCAGGGTGGCAGCAGGGTATGCCCAGCCCCGTCCCGCTTTGCCGCTGCGATGGGAGCAATTCCCAGCCTAGCTCCAGAAGAAGGGGCGGAAAAGTGTGTGAGTGTGTGTCTCTGAAAGCTGCCTCCCAACGCTGCTTGGACGCGTTGCTTTTGCGGCGCTAAGAGAAGGAGTTTAACGGTGTCAACATCCAACCCACCCCCATCGGCAAAGTTGAAGGCAAGGTTCTCGGTGCTAATCCCAGGCTTTCCACCCGGACAGTGAAACTCAGAAAGGGCAATGAACTCCTCGTCTCCCAGAGGGACGAGCTCGTCAGCAAATGGCCAGACACGGCGGGGGCGAAAGGCTCCCACCCCCCCGCTCCCCGCCGGGAGGGGACGAGCGCCGGCGGCAGGGCTCTGGCGTGGAGCGGGGTCGGAAGAAGGGAAGGGGGGGCTGGAAGGCACAGATAAGGATGATAGCCCGACCCCCCGGCTGAACAATACAGGCAGGAAAGAGGGTTGGAAACGCCTGTGCAATAGCAAGGCACGCATGTACCTACCAGCTCCTCCCAGGCGGGGCTGCGGGCGCTATAGGAAGGGTACCCATGCTCCTCCATCACCCCACAGCAGGTCCCCAACCTCCGCGGGGAGAGCGCCGACGGGCAGCGGAGCTGGGTCCGCCGGGCTGCGCCTCCCTTCCCGCCGCTGCCGCTGCTCCTGCTGGCAGCGCTTCCCTGGCGCCGCTCGTCCTCCCCCCACCCCGGTCCCGCTCCTCCCTTTTCTCCCCCGGCTATGTCCAGGCCCCCTCCTCCCTCCCCGCCCGGCTCCTTTCCCTCCCACGGCCACCGGGCTCAGCCCGGCTCCCGGGGGAGCCGGCCTGCAGCTGCCGCGCCGCTCACATCACCGCCGCCCCCCGCCCGCCCGCCCGCCGCGCTGTCCCGGCCGCCCCGCACGCCCGGCCCCCTCCCGCCCGGGCAGCCCGGCGGATCACGGGCAGATCGCCTTGGGCGTAAGCCGGTTTACGGCCGCTCCTGCTGCCGGCGGGCGAGGATGCGCCCCGCGGGGAGGGGAGAAAGCCCCTCGGTGCGCCGGGAGCCGCTCCTGCCCCGCGGGGACACGCCGCCTCCCCTGGCCCCCAGGCCGGCCCCGCCGGCCTCGGTGCGGGCCCGGAGCGCGGGCTCTGCGGCCCCGACGGGCCCCGCTGGGTGTTGCGCGGAGCCCCGGAGGGAGCATCGCTGCTCCCGCATCACCCTGCCCCGAGCCGAGCCAGGAGGGGGCCAGGGTCAAGGCCCTGGTGCTGGGACAGCCCTCTGACCCCACTCCTCAGTACTGGGCTTTTGACACCCTTTGGATGTTAAATTGAGGGTGAAACAGCACCTCGTTCCCCCGCAGTGGCGTCGCGTGGTCCCACGGGCACGTAAAGACAAACTCCCGGGAGCTGGGACACGGCATAGCCACTGTGGAACTGACAGCACAGATGTGTAGGCCATGTCTGACACAGTGGGGTCCTAATTTCCAGGGCCATTTTAAAAATGTATTTTAATTTTCTTTGTGTTTTGAAGCTTTTTCATAAAAAAAAAAAAAAAAAAAAAAAAAAACCACTGCCATCTGAACTTTAGTTTTTGCAAAATCCATCCATTTACAAAGATATAGGAGTACTATTGGTGCAAAAAGATGAATCTACTTGTCTACTTATCTACTTATTCAACTAAGGCTATAAAATACTCCCATGAAGTTGAGATGGTGCCACTAAGCCAGGCCCAAAGAATTGCCACAGCAGCTCACCTCATCTGAGGAACTGAAACTGCTGCACTTCTTCCAGATGCAGAAAAAGGAACTATTTTTGTTGATAATAAGTTTATCAGCAGTGAGTTGATGAACTGCCTTGATGGTAAGAGTGTAACCTCAAAAGGAAGAAAACAAGATGACTTAGAGCATTTTGGTTTTTGGAAGGCAGCTTTCTGAAGCTAAAGGTGAGCAACAGTTGCCCAAGGATGTCTGGCCTCCTTCCCTTTGTTCCCTGAGTGTGAGAGGCTACTGAGGAATGTCATGTTATAAAGGGCTTTACACTAAGAAGGAGTGTCAGAGTAAGATTTGTCAGCCCCTCCTTTCCTCATGATGCACCGGAGGATCTCACATGATAATTGTTTATGCCTCTCCACATCTGGCCTCTTTAGCCTTGGTCATGCTGGAGCTTTGTGGTGAAAGTCACCTGCCATGAAATATATGTCATATATAGTCTCTCATGTTCCTTGCTGAACCACAATAATTGAGTCTCTTAAAACTCCAAGAGTTTTAAAGTTACTTCAGTTCACACGCTATACATCCCCTTTTGCCCTGAAATTCAGATTCTCACTGTGCGTTCAGCCCCATTTTCTGTTTCTTCTGCCCTGAATCTTATACTTGTGACTAGGTATGCAATTGTGCTCACCTCATTTCATTCCCTGGAGTTCAAACCTTGGTTTCCATAAGTGGAAAGCTAGTATAGGCCCCAGAAGATTATAACAACCTACTTAGGTTGGAGGTATATTTCGAGGTCTTGTTGAATACGGACAGGCATCAATTGCTGCACAGATCCTACTGGGTCTGAGTGCAACCTGTGCAATGCAATTCCTGTGCAAAGCTCAGCCCTGCTCTTTTGGGCTCCAGAATGCCAAATCTGATTTTTCAGTTTTCTGTCAGGGTGACAGATTGCTGTCTTTGCTAAGGAGCCCTGCCCTGTGTGATTTCCCTCTGCTCACTGAGTCGAAGAGCACAGTTCCTGATGAGACCAAGGTCTCTCTGCTGCTTGACTGAACTGGTTGAAAATCACAGGCCAAGGATTTTGCTGGAAAATGTAATTCTGTCAAAGCCAACAAAGAATTTAAAGATAGATGTCAGAATCACAGGATTATTGGGGTACTTTTGTTTGGGGGCACACTGCTGCATTTACAGAGGGCCAAGGGAACTGAAGTCAGGCCCAAGGCAAGGATGTGACACCTAATCCTTATGGGGAAGAAAACACCTAAGATGTGTTAGTGAGGGGTAGAGGAGCTGCCTGCTAGAACAAGGAGGGACCAACTGTTTCTTTTCCTTCTCCTTGGACTGGGAGAAAAACCCATTGGAGGCAGTTGGAGCAGGAGCAGTGGTTCTCCTATCAGGTCTACCAAACTCCATTGAAACATCTCCATCATAGCCTGGGGGTCAATTTAATTTCATTCTGATTTTTATATTTTTTTCCAAGTCACGTTGTTTCTTTGGATTATTTTGGGGTTTTTTAAAATCTTTTCCAATTTTTTTCAACTCAGTCCAAACATTAGGGGTTTAATTTCTTGGTAGCAGTCTACTCTATCTACCGTGTTCAAAGTTGCCTCCTCTCCTTCTGTCTCTTTTGTTCTCTGCCCTCAATGACTCAGTGAAAACTTGAACAACAAATCAAATGTTTCATTATCGACTTTTTTTTACATAAAGTGAATTGAAAATAGCCTGCATTTTCTAAGCAAAATATTTTGGATATATTGGAGGCACTTAAATATAAGAGCTTTGATTCCAGTGCTGTGGTTGGACATTCACAAGAAGGTCCCCACCACTTCAAGCATTTCCTTTCTCTGGTGGTGGAAAAAAGAGCTTTCAATTCTTTTCCAAAGTTGAGGTAGAAAGACACTAAAAGAATGAGCTTTTTAATATTTTTCTGTATTTTTCCACCAGCATTGCCTTTAGCATATACGACATAGCAAATATACACTAATTCTCATCAATTTATGCTAACATGAAACTTTTAACTTTACTTTGCATATAGTATCAAACCTATTTGGAGTAAATTCTTCAGGGAAATGTTGTTCTTCATTCTCTTCACTGTAAACATGCCAGCTGGCCTTTTTTAAAAATAATTTTGCATAATATTTGAAGGTATGATTTCATCAACAGAGTAGTTGGGTAGTTCCTGCCAGCCAGACAGGTAGTAACAACCTGCACTGGGTCATTAAAATGAAAAATGTATTAAAAGCAGAGCAAAATGTACATACTTCTCTGGTAATCCTTCAGATAGACCTGAAGTTACAAAATGGGTAATTTAAAAAATAAAGGTATATTTTTTCAGTAACATCCTGATAGTTGCCTTCAAATCCACCACTTTCTGTTTGTAAGAGCATCTAAACTATTGAACAAATTCTGCATTTCTCCCACTTTACAGGGCCTACTTCTTGGAACTCACACTGGCACCTGAGAAATGTTTTCAGCCTACAGTTTTCTTTCATGGACTTCCTCCAACATATGCATTCTTCTTCATCATTGTTTTTCTTCTCATTAATCTAACAACTGCTTCAGCACATAACTACCTGTAAGCAACAGGATAGTTTTAAACAATTCCCTTGATTTTTGGGTTTTACAAGTGGGAAATCATTTATGCAGCTGGAAGAATTACTTTCTAAATGAAGTGCTTCAGAAAGAAAGAAGTCACTGAGAAAAAAGCCTTGGGAAAAAGTGTTTTACTGGAACAGCAGCGGAACCATGGAAGGGCAATCCACCATCCACTTAATTTTCCTCCCAGCATTTTTATTTCCCCTTCTAAATTCCCCACCTCCCGCCAGTGTCAGCACCTCCTGCTTGTTCTGCTGGCATGGAGAACTACTTCAACACCTCCTTCTGAGTGCCAACATCAGGGACTAACATTGTTGAATGGTATTTTCCTTGTGAACTTTATTTTGAGACATCTGGGGGGGGAGAGGGGGGGGAGAGTGTTTTTGTCATCCCACCCCTTTGACTGCTCTGACTTTCTGACGAAATCAACAGATACCCTGAAAGTCAGAAGGAAAATTACATGAAAGCACAGATGGCTGTAGGTGGTGCTTCCTCAAACCACTGCTAACTTTCACTAACCACCTCTGCCAGTGCTCCTGGCTGTGGCCACATACTAATTTATTTATTTAAGGGTACTGGTGAACCGATAGCTTCGTTTCATAAAAACACCTTTGGAAAGAGCAATTCACTCCAGTCTCTTAGATCCCTGATGACAAGGACTTTAGACCCTTCCTAGAGGATGGAGTTAGTAAATGACCTAAACCTGCTGCCTAATATGTGTCTCATTCCCCATAAATGTGTGGAAACAATTCCATAGGTCTTCACTAATAACTTTGGTGGGTTTAGAGGTTGTTGTCACACACTTCTACACTCAACCAATCTAATTTCATTCTCATCACAGACCTCTCAGCTCACACTTCAGAGATGTTGCTTGTGGCTCGCTTGAAATGCAGTGCCCATTGAGCTGCATGCTCCAGCTGAGGCCTCACCTCAAATAACATCAGCCTGGGTTTGCCCAGCTGTGATGGACGTACTCCTTGATTGATCATCCTGACCATTGATGGGGGTATTTAGACACCCTTGCTGTTTGTGTGTAAAGCAGGACTTCCTCCTGGTAGCATCTTTTTAGATCTGTGAGCACCAGGAAATATTACAGGTGAAACAGCGTTTTCTAGGAAAATATCACATCAATTTCAAAAGCTTCAGTGAGTCTATCCCATCCACAGGACTGATTTGTTTGACATTATTTGTCCATGAAAAGCCTGTATTAGTTACACCCCTCCCTGTTATCTTGTAAGTAATTAGAAACATTTTATTTTTATTTTGTGGGGAATATAAGTTTATGTGATGGATCAGTAATTCCCAAGTTCCTTCTTTTGATCCTTTTTAAAAGTTTCACTTCCTAATGCAAGACCTGAAATGATTAAACACAGGATGTGTTCTAACCTTGTTTTTACATATGAGCCAAAC